GTTTGTATTCACGAATATTTTGCAATTTACATTATTAAGTATGTTAAATTTCTCCATTGAAAAAGAAACGAATGTTAGAAAAAGGTTTAGCATTGATTAGTAAACGACCAAAAAAAAAGTGGATAAGCGAGAAGATAAAACGAGAAAAAAAACTATAAAAAATCAAAAACAAAAAATTCAACGAGACTCTACAGTGACTTTAATAAGGCCAATAAAGTCGAAGAAACAAAGGAGGAGGAAGCCCTATCGCAATAAGAACACGACATAAAATTCAAGGAGAAAACACAAAAAGAAGCGAGAGGCTAGAAGAAAAATGAATTAAGAGACAAGATAATTCCAGTAAAAAAAAAGAGCAAGGAGAAACGAGAAGCAGTTAATATGAAGATCGAGAGAACGCGAGCAAAAAGCGGCGGGAGAGGAATATCCCAAATGAAGAACGCTGGCTGGCATTGAATGTCGTCCTGCAATGGAGCAATGGGGCCTCGCATTCGGGAACGAGTTGAGAGCTCGGAACAGCAGGCTGGTTGCTCCAGTCTTCCTCTCCCGCCTCCCTCGCCACCGTCGCCGCCGCAGCTCCTTGGAATTGCACCGGCGCACAGTGTGCCCAAGTTACGAAAACGTGGGTCACAACCTTAAAACCTTTTTCTTGAAGTAATTGGGAGTGATAGATTAGTGATTCCCACCGCGTCAACTGGCGAAGTAATTAGTTCCGTAAGTGTAGTACATTTTTATCGCGGGAGGTGGCGGTGGATGGTGAGATGAGGCTTGTGGGGTTTTCCTCAACGAGGTATCACCAGCGGGACACCGTCCTCGACGGGATAAGCTACAACCTTAAAACTTTTTCTTGAAGTAATTTGGTTTGATAGATTAGTGATTCCAACCGCGTCAACCGCTGAAGTAATTAGTTCCGTAAGTGTAGTGCATTTTTATCGCGGGAGGTGTCGCTGATCTCTCCCAGCTGGATGGTGAGATCAGGCTTGTTGGGTTTTCCTCTACAAGGTATCACCAGCGGGACACCGTCCTCGACGGGATAAGCTACAACCTTAAAACTTTTTCTTGGAGTAATTTGGATTGATAGACTAGGAATTTCGAGTGCGTCAGCTGCTGAAGTAATTAGTTCCGTAAGTGTAGTGCATTTTTTATCGCGGGAGGTGGCGGTGATCTTTCGCCGATCGATGGTGAGATCCGGCTTGCAGGGTTTTCGCCGACAAGGTATCTCCCACCAGCGGGACACCGTCCTCGCCGGGACAAGCTCTAAGCTCCCGACTGGTCTCCCGACAGGTGTGTGTCAGTGTAAGAGAAGATATGGAAGGAGCGAGAATAGAATAATGAAGAGGAAGAAAATATCGCTCACGGTCCGTGGCCCATTTGTTAAGACACTGCTCCGCCATTCGCCGGATGTTAGTCGGAGAAGCCACGGAAAACTAAGCAGCCAATTGAATTGAATTGAATTGAATTGAATTTGCCTTATTTTGCGTGGCGAGACTCGGGCCATCAGGCCCGCTCTTCCGTCTGACCACGCAAATTTCGCTACGCTCCTTTTATCAACTAGCAGAGAAAGGAGGTATTTCTTGGGCGAGAAACTGGCGATTTGAATTTAGCTCAGAGGCGTCATTTAGGCTTGAGGATCTTTTACATGCAAGTAAATCTACTGGCATGGGACAGCCGGCTTTACTTCCCCGCCGAAGGAAGGCGTACGAAGGATTTTGTCGCCCAAGCCAATCGCTAGAATTCTCCTTCAGACAGCGCCCGAATTCCACCTTGTCAAGTAGGTAGTGTCGAAAGTACTACTACTGTCGGGACTCGAACCCGAGGACCTCCAGAGGCACTACAATGACATCAATTGATGCCCTGAGCGCGTAAGACGATGAAGTAATTTGGACCACCAGCATCGGTTGTTTGAAAGAAAACCACACGCCATGAATTCGCCCTGCCCAAGAGCGTGCAATGCTTTAGCGATCTCGGTTAAATCAACATTTTCATTTAGAAATTGCAAAACCTGCTTTCATGGTACGTTTAGGGTGTAAATGTTTATTGGTGATGTAATATTTACGATTTCAAGACAGGAAGAAATGCGAGTTGACCAGAACTGTGCGATGGTAGTGGTGTGTTTGAAACATCGGTTGTGAAAGTATGAAGGTTAAGTCCGCTGGTGCCATGCGCTGACAGCGTATAGTTGACGAGTGCGGTCAGTGCACTTCCAGCATCTGAAGAGAAAGTAAAACTGTGGGATCGCGTGTTTTGAATAAGTGCTGTAGCACTTTTTCTGTACAAACTGTCTGCCACCTCAGAGATAAGCAAAATACATTTAACATTAATCTAATGTAGATTTCGCGAACGGCGATTAAATATAGTGAGATGATAAATGTTTATGTAACTTTATATAATACTTGAAAGTTAATGCTAATCTTTAGCTAAATTAATTTATTCCTTTCCTATGAAAGGCAATTTTGAAAGTTGAGAAACTTTGAATTGGACTTTCTATGACCAGCTTTTGTACACTTTCGGTTGCCCTGTCGATTCCGACATGCTGTATCTCGTAATTTTAATATCTGATTTGTAAGAACTGCCTTAAATGTCCTTTCTAGGAGTTAGTGTACTGCTTTAGGAAATATTGCAAGCTTGGTATTAAACCGTTTGAGATACTTTCCAGTATGGGTTTTGATACAGTTCCTAAATATATTCATATCATTTTAAAATATACAATGTAGTAGTTGATTTAGATAGCGACTCGACCAAAACAAATCTTTTAATTGATTGGCGTCACGGCCAGTCTTGACGTCAAGCTTCTGTTTGAATTGAATTTTCGGACACATTTGACTTTTACATGTTTATTTGTGAGTTACGTTGATACAGTGCTAATTGGAGCTAAATTTTATTTACTCCCACTATAAAGTCATATTATTTTTCCCACTTTAGTGAACATAAAAAGAGAAGTTTGGAAAAATATCAGTCAACTCGTTAAGATTTACACAGTTTTGTTTACCTATATTATATTTTCGTTTCAGTACGCTCTTTTGTTTATTTATTTCCCATTTATACGCCATTTGGGTATCTAACACGCATTCCTTTATTAGGACTCCATACGTACTCCAGAAACCACGCCACTTTATGGTATATCTCCCTCACACAAATCTATTAACTAAATCAAATTGCACGAAATTATGGAGACCGTTTCAAAATCAAATCTGTTCAATCGATTTTGTTTCTAGCAAAGAACTCAATAAAAAAACTGGTAGAACGATGTTTAACAGTTTCGGCTTGATCGTTTGGTTCGAAGACGTTTGAGATTTTGCCCGCGTTTTCGTCATTGTGTCACACCGTGCGGCATGTTGAGATCGTTCGTCGGCCGCCTTCTCTCTCGCTCCCACTCTCTCTCTCTCTCTCTCTCTCTCTCTCTCTCTCTCTCTCTCTCTCTCTCTCTCTCTCTGTCTCTCTGCTGCTCCGGTGCTCTCGCCGCCGCCGCCGTCTTTGCCTCGCCCCGACCGGCCTCCCAACCCGGCCTGCCGGGTAGGTTTTTCAAGGGTCGCCCCTCGGCTGCTCAGGAATTTGATGAAAAAAAATTAGGGATCTGGCTGCTTGCATCCTTCTTCCCCCTCGCCTCTCTCTCTCCCCCCCTCCTCCTCCTCCATCGCCCGCCTGCTGCCGGCGTCTTCTTTTTCTTCTCGTTCTAAGTGTGTCGTTGGCGTTGGCTTATAATGCGTATTAATAGCGGGTACCCGCTCGCGCATACGTACGCTCGTACTTAAGAGGCGTGCTGCGTGCGTGGTCGGGCGCTGGCTACAGAGGCGCGTCAAGCTCTTTGTGTAATGGAACAATAACGCTCCCGCGAGCGCGTATCTATCAGTATTACGAGCTCGCTCCCGACTCTCTAGGATTTATGAGGCGCCTTCAGATTTCGGGAATCTCTTTCGGGGGATCTGGTCGAGTCGGGCTTTCTTATCGCCCACTCTCCTGGAACTATGTCGCAGATAGCGCGGAGGAATTCTTTTCAAGGCGAATGCTCGTTGGCAGGGATGAGTTTGAATTATCATGACAAAGCCCCAGGTCTGGTCTTACTGCCATAACAAATCATTGACTTCTGTCGTGCTGATGTTAGCAGAAAGTGGACAGTTTGTATTCACGTCTTTTGTGACAGAACCTCGAGATCTTTCTCTGATTATTTCTGGAAGTAAGTTTTTATTAAATCTTGATTTCTTTTTGACTACTGTTTCGAAATAATTAGTTTTCTTTATTTATAAATAATTGTTTCACACGTTTTTTGTCTGCAACTTGTTGACAGTAACTTTTAGCAGCAAATTTTAGTTATCCCAAAATAATTTCTAATAAAAACATGCACTCGTAGTAGAGGTGAATGGAAACTGTCGCCATTTGAGGCTGCGACATCCAGGCTAAGAAAACGCTCAATCATCGCCCTAAGTTTTATTATGAATAGACACATGATGTTAGGTTCTAAAAAGTCCAAAATAGTTCAGAAAGACATCATACATTTTCAAACTAGGTTCTAAAATAAACACTAAAATTTTGTAATAACAACTTCCAAGTAAATACTGAGAACAGATTAAATTAATATTGCAACGTAGACTACAAGTCGCGGTACATATCAGTAATAACGTATGTTACAAGTCACATAATGATTGTGTATATTATTTGTTTTCATTATGCGTTTTTATTCTACCTACGTGGACTTAATGGTTGTCGTCTCATAACATTTAGGTAAAAATTACGAAAGTATAAGAAATATATCAAGAGACTGGGCGCAAACGTTAATATAATTAAAAAGTACATACCCTAACCTCATGATGGTGAACTGATTGTGCGTCCAGAGAAATGAGACAATCAGCCGTCATCGCACTTTAAACAGGAATACTTTATACTTTCTCCTTGAAATACGACTCTTGGCAACACGACCTAACTGCTCTAGCAGATCCTGAACGTGTAGGTACTTGTAAAGTTTAGAATCTCTACTCGCAGAGAGTGTAAACGCTTTTTCCCGAAATATGCATCAGCAGTCGTTGCCTACGAGTGCACATTTCGTATGCAAGATGCACTATGCCTACTGCATTTTCTATTCACGGTGCACGCTGACTACACGGAGATCATTACAAATACGCATTCGTGATGCTGCTTTGCCAAGAAAGATACGCTAGTTCCTGGAAGAAAGAGATATACTGGTGGACGCGGCATTCAGGAATGGCTTTGCCTAACAATATGGTACTGATTTCGACGAATTTTAATGCATATTTCGAATACAAACACGAAATATTTAATAGAAATTAACTTGTATTTATTACGTCTGTAGTGCAGATTATTTTTATTTGGTAACCAACTTTGTGAAATATTTATTATTAGATAATTGTTAACTTCATTAGAAGTTTCAAAACGCTTGACTATGTCGAGATTTAGCAGAAAATAAAGCAATCAAGTCATTATTTGAAATGATAAGATATGTAATACTTCTTACATTGAGTTAATTCTGTGGTCACGGGGCAAAAGTTCATAAGTCAAAAATTTGACTGTAAAAAAAACAAGGGTTAGATTATTGAGTTGCCTACATTTCCCACCGCCGAGCTATATTTCCCAACGTTTTTTTGTTCCCGACATGTAGTTTCAGTACTTAACCCCATTTCGCCAAACATTGACTTAAGAACTTTTACCCCATGATCACAGAGTTTTATTGCGAATATGCGTTGTGTGCAAGTTTTGCGGTAGTCGAAGATTGAATGGTGAAGAAAGTTTCTGTATCGTTCAATTGTTGAATTTTATCTCGAAGAGAGAGTTTATTCTGTCGCCTCTTGTAACCTCTCTGATTTCGTTTAAAGCCGCATTATCCCTCTTAATTTCCGTTATACCCGTCCCTAACACTACTCATGTAAATATTCCATACGTAGAAGATACACGAGGATGTGTTGTGGTTACGAAAATATCCTGGTTATTCATTCACAGAGAATGACAATTCATTGTATCCCCACCTATAGCACTTACCGACTAGCGATCTCATCAGGAGATTCATTTCGTTCTGAAAGAAGAAACGTGTCCAGGTGCTGGGGCGGGATGGGTGTCTGCAGGGGCGGAGTGATGGAAAGATATTCCCGGCCCGACCACGCCCTCCCCTTGTTAATGGACGTCTTCGCTCTGTCGACAGGTACATCCACTCCAAGGAGAAACCGTTCAAGTGCGGCGACTGCGGCAAGGGCTTCTGCCAGTCGCGGACGCTAGCCGTGCACCGGATCCTGCACATGGGACGAGTCCCGCACAAGTTGGCCGGGGTGTGCGGCGCGGCTCCTTCAACCAGCGCTCCACCTCAAGACGCACCTGCTCACGCACAAGTAGAACGCGACCACAAAGCGTAGAGTGGCAACTCGTGGGGAAAGGTGTTCCGACGCAACTGCGACCTGCGGCGCCACGCGCTCACCACCACAGCCGTGGGCACGTGCCGCCCCGAGGTGCTGGCGGCGGCGGCCGGGGCCGCGGCGCGGGGTCGACCCTGGGGAACGCCCGCCGCCGCGCTGCGGCCCGCCCCCGCCGCCGCCCCCGCCCCCGCCGCCCGCGACAAGCGGCCGGCTCGCCCTCGCCGGATCCTCAGGGGGTGCCCCCTAACCCTACACGTGCCGCAATAGTAACATGATGTTACAGCTCCTAACCTCATATGCTGTCAAAATGGTACAGTGATGTTATAGCTCCTAACCTTGCATATGCCGTCAAATGGTACAGTGATGTTACAGCTCCTAAGCCCTGCATATGCCGTCAAATGGTACATTGATGCGTTAAGCTCCTTTAACCCTGCATATGCCTGTCAAATGGTACAGTTGATGTTTAAGGCTTCCTAAACCTGCACATGACGTCAAATGGTTACAGTGATTGTTGTAGCTCCTAACCCTGGCATGTGCCGTCAACTGTACAGTGATTGTTATAAGCTCCCTAACCTTTCACATGCGTCAATTGGGTAGCAGGTTGGGATGTTTTATAGGGCTCCTAACCTGTTGTTGCGTCAAATGGTACAGTTCTGTTATAGCTCCTAGCCCTGCACGAGACGTCAAATGCTACAGTAATGTTATAGCTCACTAAGTCTGCAACGTCCTCAAATGGTACAGTGATGTTATAGCTCCTAACCCTGCACGTGACGTCAATTGATACAGTTTTTTTATAGATCCTAACCTGCACGTGCCGTCAAATGATACAGCTCTGTAAATAACGAGAAATTTCCGCTCCTAACTCTGCTCGAGCATGCACAGGTTACATGAAGTAAACTCTGAACCATTCCCTGTCCTCACTAAACTTACGCTAAACTACTTCATGCCCTGATGTAGAAGTCTACTGTCTTCGTGTCGAGTACTTGGAAAGCAACATACTAATTTTTATGACTGAAATTGGTGGAGATGTTCTAAAATAAGGAGAACTTCGGCTGCAATAAAACAGCTGATCAAAGAACATTTGTTTAAAACATGCGGCATCTAATACTTTAAAAGATACGATCAAACGAATTGTTTGAACAAAGCCGTATTATAAATAATAAAAATGGACAGACAAATATTGGTCTTCAATTATTGGATACATTTCTAAAGTGAGTTAAAAAATTAATCATTCTCCAGATGAGATTTCTAGCTTAAAAAATAATTTAATTACACGATTGAAAATTTGTTTACTTTGGCATTTGTTTGACAACATTTCAACAAGAATATATAATTCTTTTTAAAAATGACGTAATTAAATTTCAAAATGATTCTAACTTGAAACATTTTTAAAGTACTTTTTATTGGCAAAACATTCATAAATTAAAAAATAATAAGTTGATGTTATTGGCGAAAGATCAATTCAAAACAGAGGTCTGAAGGCTGGATTTAGAGATAAGCACATCTCTGTAAAAGCAGGCTAACGGGAGACGCTGTGGCACAAACGTAATTCCGTGATACCTGTCCTGTCCGCAAATTCGCGGCTTGAGTGACGGGATTCGATCGCCGAGGTCCGTAGAAAGCCGAGGCCGACCGTGCCAGAACCGTCAGCGCGTCCCACCCTAAACGGTTTTGCCGCGGTCTCTTACCGTCCGGTTTTCTCCTGTGTGCCACAGGCGGGCCCGAGCGACCGCACCGCCCGCGGACGCCACCGGCCGGGCCCCGCCGGCCCGGGGGCAGGCGCTGGCACCATACAACCACCATCACCACCACCAACGGACCTTCGGCCCACACCACCGCACCACCGGGAACCCGTTTCCGGCCGTCGACTTCCGGCGAGCGCGCCCCGCGCTGCGGCGCAACTGCAGATTCGCCGAGAGCCTCCTGGCTGGCCCGCGGGCGCGGACGCCCGCTCCGCCCCCGACCCGCCGCCACGGTCACCATGCCACGACCGCCCGCGCCGCCCGGCGCACGCCGGCCCTGGCCCGCCGCCACCCCAGCAGCAGCAGCCACGCCGCCGCCGCCGCCGCACCCGCCGCCGCCGCCGCCCGCACCGCCGCAGCCCCAGCCCTCCACGTCGCGGGGCCCGCCCCCGGCCGGGCCGCAGCCGCCGGCGCAGCCGCCCCCGCCGCCGGTGAAGCGGCAAGGCTTCAGCATCGAGGAGATCATGAGGCGCTAGCACCGCTCATACTGGAGATCCACCCACCAAAAAATAAACATTTGCACCGTTTCACAACTTCACACGCGGAGTGGAGACGGAAACTTTCGTGGCCGGTGTCAGTTGAGGCTGGACTGCCCAAATGCAGTTTTTCTGGAAAATAGCTGGAGCGTGTGTAAATGGAGCATGTGTGGAATGTTCGTATTGACTAAAGCAGAAATGCTTTTACTATTTTTTACGCTATCGTCTTGAGAGTCAAGATAATTCGTATCTGTATTTTGGTGCAAAATACGTTCGAAATTTTACGTATACTGGTCTCAATGATGTTGATCTGTATAAATCATGGATGCGGAATTTTTGAGCGATGAAACTGCTGCCAAGCGAATCAAGTTAACCACAAAACAATTGACGATTGTTTTGCTCAGATCATAACTTCCCTCGACCACCTTAAAATGTACTACTTTTTTGTATTTACAACCCATTATAAAGCCCATTCCACACGTGTCCCATCAGTCTATTTGCTTTAGCTGTGTGTGAGAAAACAAGATGTTTGGGTGGCGTTGCGTCCTAGGAAGAGATGCCGGCATTTCGATCGATATTTTGTCACTTTCTTCGGGGCTATTCCTTAAGCATAGTGTGTCGAGAGAACCGCTGGCAATTTTCTTGTGCACGGCGTCTCTCAGGCTGCCAAAGCTCCAAATTCTCCAGATTCCGTAGTGAAGTCTTGGTGCCAGTGATTAAAACTCCACAGTATCCAGTTCTGCGAGGATTCAACGAGTTGATCACGTAGTGCTAGTGGTCACTGAATCATCGGCAAGGATTCTACATAGAGTGATAGTGTGAGTGACTAGACCACACTTCATCCAACGTTCCTCCAGTACAGTAGAAATACCATATGGTTCTAGTGGCTTCCTAAACACCTTACAATAACGCCAATAGAAATTCATCAACGAAACAATGTGGTGTTTGATAAAAAAGACTCAAACTCCAACCGTTGAGCGATGGTTTAGAGTGGAAGATCATGTTCAAGCAAGGATTCTGAATCCAGATGACAGTGAGGCGATGGTTTTATAGATTCCAGAGATTGAAAAGATGCTGGTAGCATGGAAAACGATTTTGAAGATTTGGTCACTTTTGTCTCTACAATATTTTGTATTTCAGACCAAATGCCACAAGATGAGCTTTGGATTAAATACGTAATTACAGAGATATTGAATTGTTTATGATATTGTTGCTATGATATATTTGTAAATTGTTATTATATATTTGCTTCTTAAATTCCAGTTCACAAGTAAAAACCAAAAACTCAAACAGAAATATCATGGTTTCTATTGAAGCAAATGCATGGTTTCTGAGACCACTACCCTTTACAATTTTCCATCATCTAGATTTCAACATTGGTATAATGAGACCATTTTGTGGCCAAATCGTTGACATGGATGTTGTTTGTGAATGTGATAATGGTTTTCAAAATAGTCCTGGCTATATTTTAAGTGATACGATAGTGAAATAACGTTAGTGACACCAGGTTTCCAGAGCTTCAAATATTTAGCATTGTATATGGATTTCTCGTTGATGAAGTATCTAAATACATTTTTTAAAGAGAGAAAAGACTTGCTATTGTGCCTAAATTCCAAATTTTGAAAATTAGTTTTACACAATGTGTTTTATGAAATTATGGGAGAAACTGATCTCACTTGTGTGTTGCTCGGAAACAGAAATAAGTCTCGAATTCCCGCGAAAATTTAAAAGTGAAAGCTTACTAAGTTGATTATCAAGAAAAAATATACTGAATTAATGAAATACATTTTCTCGAATCGAACTTTTTGAGCTCTTTTGCTAGTTTTTATAGATAGATTGAAATTTTCTCATTTTAAGTATGAGATCAGTCTTAACAGAATCTAAGGAAAGTTAATTCTCAAAAAGTGCCTCAAGTTAAATTATTTTCCTAGCCAACTAAGTAACATTTACATTAAGGAAATTCAAAAATATTGAACTGCTTCATACGAGAAATGTACTTATTGTACTTCAGGACTATACGTAAGTACAGAGGTCTACGATTTCTGTTTACATGAATTGAATTTTCGTGCAATAGTTTTGAAACTCAAGATTCTGTGCGAGTTTGTAAATTGTTTGGAATCATGTGCTACATTACAACAGAGCACAAGTATATACATACTTCCCAAATTTTCGGGATTTGTAAATATTTTGATCAAAAATTTATCTTGTTATGTTGTGTTAATTCATTGTGTAGTGTTGAAAATATAACAATATATTTTGTAAATATGTTATGACATGATAAAAGCATGCCAAATCTGCCTCTTTGTCCTATGTACATCATGTGGCATAGAATGTAAGATGTGCCTGTTAACTTGTCTTTCCTAGATCATAATTTGGCTATTTGTATTTGTGGATATAAGTGAGATCTCCAAACCTCACATTAAAAATAGAAATGCATGTGTATATAGTGTTACGTAGTGTAGTTATAACTGGGCATATAGCGAACGCTGGCAACCAATGAAAGTTGAAGCGCGAGAGACTTTGTGTGAGTGCGTGGTGTTGGCAAGCCGTAAAAAAAGTTGAACGGTTCGGGCCTTTTATCCAGGTCCGTCGAAAGTCAGGATTCCGGTTTGCCTTCGGAGCTGTAATCAGCCAGGTTGGCGCATTCCGGCTCCTATGGCTGTAAAGGAGTGCGCTCGAGAACTGAAACCTTCAGGTCTCTTGGAAGTTGTGTTGACACGCCAGCATCGAACTTGAAAACAAAATTACGATTACAACCGAAAACAAATCAGGCTCACTGGAC